TTTTGAGTAATCTTTAACGTATTCAACTTCAGTTGCGGCGTTAAGAATAAAAATCAGGAATTTTGAGCCCCACACGTGGAGTGGGAGTGTACTCGCGTACACCAAGGTTCGAAGACCGGGCCGCTGTGTTTGCGACACTGCCGAGAGACGCGGGTATGTCAGACATGCCGGCAGTTGACGACGATGTTTGGATTGAGCCTGAATTCCGTAAGCTCGTCCAGATGCCGATTGTGTCTCTGAACATGGATCACATGGAACAAATTGGACCGCATGGATTTTTCCACCTCATTCAGACACAGGAGTGGCTTCGCTTCTCAAAATCCGACGCGAGCTCGCTTTTCATATTCTACCCACAACCCACAACAACAACTGTGTCACTCTGGCAGCAGCGCCGACGCACCGCCTGCGCCTCGTCCCGAACGTGCGGTTTAGGCCTGAGTGCGGTGAATGCGCTGAGCACGAACAAGATTGCGTTTAAGAGCAAGGTGGTTTCGCGCGCGTATGCGGAGGTGTGGGTCGAGGGTGCAAGTGGCGGTGGGGTCAAGTTTTATATACGGGACACGAAGAGCAGTTCGAGACGTTCCTCAACCACGTCCGCCTCTCGCCTGCCAACACCGAGTCGCGCCCGCACCAGACGGATATTCTGCAGGTGCGCCTTTCTTTTCCTTCTCGTGTCTCTTCCTTTATCCATTTTCTATGAACAATGCAACCCCGCTAACTAACCCCCCTACTCCCAACAACTCGGCGTCGACTACCAGGGTGGTGCGGAGGTCATATACAAGAGCGTCAAGATCCGCATCGAGCTCGGCCGCGAGTGGCAGGCCGGCGTGAACGCGTTCAAGCGCGTATAACTTCTTCCCGTCTTCTTGTTCATCATCTTTCCTTCGTCTTTTTTTTTTTTGTTTGGGTTCTTTCGTTCGCTGTTTTTTTTTTTTTTGGGGGGGGGGGTTTGCCTCTTTGAGGACAGCAGCTTCTCCTTCTTGTCCTTCTTGAGCACGGCGGCTTGTGGCTTTGGGGGCTGCCTGTCCGACGGACGATGATGGACTGCGTTGGCGTTCGTATGGGCTTACGCGTTTGGGGTTGCGCGTTCGTCGCGGCGCGGTAGTGGGGGGGGGGAGTGTGTGCTGCGGCGCCGGGGCTCATAAACCCTTGGCGTCGGCGGTGGTCGCTTTTGGGTTCCGCACGTTTGCAGGGTGCGCACGGTGGCTCCTCCGCTGCCCGGGAGGCCTGCAGGGTCTGCTCTGTCTGGGTTGGGCACCTGCTATATGTACCGTGCTGCGTTGGCGCCGCTTGTGTGTGGAGCGAGACGTGAGCGTCTGTAGGTGTTCGACGTTCGACATTTGTATGGGATTGTGGAGCTGAAGGCACTGTCTCCAATATGATTGCGCGACGTGTCTTCTATTTTTTAACACAAAATTAATCAGTTTTCATTTACTTATTTTAATAATAAAAAGTCACACACATTTTTTCGTCATTATGATCTTTCTAAGTAGTATCTCTCATTCTCCTCGGAGGCAAACGTGCGGCAATTTGGTTTTCCCTTCACCGGCACTTTTTCTTTCTTTCTTCCCAGCCCAGAAGTTTACATGGCGCATTCAATCACGGTAGACTCAGAGCCTGTATGGTCCGAGGACGACCCAGACGGTAGTGAGCAATTAACTATCTCTCCCGTTCAATATTCAACCCCAAAAGTTGGAGTTCACACTGCCTGGAGCGTTGCCTTTTTTGGAACGCACCTCGGTAGGAGGCACTCACCTTCTGTTTCCTTTCCCTCGATCTTTTCCCAGTATATCAATCCGAGTCCTATTCATCCACTATTCGTCCATTGTCAGTTCATTTCAGCCTCCTTATATATTCATCCAGAAGTCGTTGTTGACTTTGAAATATAGTCGAGTTACTGTATGTATATTTATTGCAGAGTCTTGGTGCACGCTGCACTCCTGCTGCCTCTCAATGGGATATGAGTGTCACAGCCATACAATAGTCCAAGGAGAGTGTAATACTGGCCTGTACCTGCTCTCATTTCGTAGTCAAAGCTGTAGGAAATTAGGCCAATCACGAGGCAAGGTCGAACCACAATTATCCACTTTTGACTGCGTCGGGGAGCGCGGACAGAGTTCCGCACAAAGATGTGTGCGGTAGAACGTGAGGCACAGCGAAGGCGATGCAACAACGCAACTTGAACCCAATTCGGTGAAACCCACCACCGACTTCCACATCCTGTGACTCAGAACAGCGAAGAGGTTGACCCCTTCGTCAAACGGATTCGACCATGACGGTGGTATGCTACTATCGGTGTAAATCAGATTCAAGGCTGATGCTGGGGAAGTACTACTTCAGCCATTTGGTAGGATTCGACATTGGTGTGAATAGCTTCTGCATGACGAACATACATATCTTTTCGTGGGCGGGTTCCTCAAAGTACCATGAGCGCAAAAAAGGAACTGAGTGAGCTCAGTTGATCAAGTCAGAGTCTTCAATCCAGCACCGCCAGGCTAAAAGGGAGGCAAGGACAGTAAGCGGGGTGTTTCGGCGGGTGCGGCAGGACATGCCCGATTTCGCCGCGTCGCCTGCTCGCAACAAACTTCTCTGCGTGGAACCAAAAGTCCCTTCCCCCCTTCGCTCCGAACTTCCAATCCTCCATAGACTCCTCCAAGGAAAGTGACATCACAACGAAGCGCGGGTCATCGATCGGCAAGCGTGCTTTGCAGTATCGCAGACCCTTGAGCATGGTGACCAGCATGCGGAGTCTGCTGCAATTTGCCAGAGTGGAAGAGATGAGGCCGATGGTAGAGTGAGCGGATAGACAAAGATGTATGAGGGCAGGGAGTTCGCCGAAATTTAGTTCTGGAGGGCTATTGAGGAGGCGAAGATGAGTGAGTGCTCCGAAGAGGGGACGGGCTGGGTCGATCGCCGGAATACCAAAAAGTCCTTGAAGGTCGACGGTCAACTGCCGTAGTTGCATCTTCTCGAGTGCAGGGAGCATTGTGGGATAGGGCCCGATCAGCATGAGCTTCCGGATTCCACTGCAAGAAGAAAGAACGCGCAGTGCGAAATCAACACGATGGGGAGCGGCCCATATGAGCATGCTCTGCACATATTTTGCCAATTTGGCGGATTCCGGACAGAAAGCCGCTGGGCCCCGAGGGGATTCCTGGTCGATGAAAACAAGGGTCCGGTACAACATAGGCTCGATCCTGAGCAAGGGATTAGAAGAGGTGGTTTGTCGGTGTCGAGATAATGCACTACCATTGAAGGACGCGCTGCGCAACGAGAAGGAGCGCCGGGATCGTTTCCGGATAACGGTTAGCAGCCATTTCGAAGATTTCTCGCTCAAGATCAAAAGGGAGCGATGGATAAATATCAGAGTCCATGGTATGAGGACTAATTGGATCCCACGTATCGCTGCTGGTTCGATAAGTACAAGAGTCTGGTGGTGGTATGGAGAAGGGAAAGAATGATGCCATCAGCTGCTGACTCACCCAAAGACTCACCCCTTTTGTCGTCTCCGCTCACAGCCGACTCGCACTCAGGCTAGTTCAGGGCTGAATTTCCCTTTGAATAGACATACAATCTGCCTCCCAACCTTTGGCCATGTTTCACACACCCATCGTTCCCGCTGGAGCTCGAACGAGAAATATTCGAGATTGCGGCGACCCATCACCACGAAACGATGCCCACTCTCCTGCTAGTTGCTCAGCGCGTTCTTTAGTGGTATGGGATTATTTTATTAGCAAGGAATCTCATAGCTTATATTCTGCATCCAGGATCGAGCCTCTTTTGTACCGTACTCTTGTTGTGGGCCGAACCACTCTTGTTCTAGGTAGAATCGCTGCCCAGCGGCTGGATCCCGCCAATCTTCTTCATCTACAGCCCGCCAAATGGAAACATGTCCAGAACCTACTGGCATGGGATTCCCACAGCGATCTCTTACCCGTTCTTCCACTTTGTGGCCATGTCGAAAGGCTCGGATTGTACGGTGCAGATCCATTGATGTTCACTGCCCTCGAAGATATGCCGCTGGCAGTGCAGCACTTGTCTTCATCAATATTTCCACTCTTGACGCAATCGATCCCAGTCGCCCTCTGTTCCGGACGCTCACCCATCTCGACATGTTCGCTGGGATCGAAGGACAACCGCTCGATTTCGAGTTCACTCAATTTACTGCCCTCACACACCTGAGAATGCATGGCGACCGACGTCCGCCGTTCTTTATCGCCCTTCTTGCGCGCTGCCCCAGGCCTCACGTTTTGGTCAGCAACATCCATCCTTACTGGAACAGACAACAGGCGCACCAGTCGATCAATATTGACATGCGCTTCGTGATGATGTCCACTGGAATCAACGTAAATCTTTTCGTAGAGGACTGGTCACTGGGCGCACAGGGCGGGAAGGATTTTTGGGCTCGTGCCGCGCTCTTTATCGATAAACGGAGACGTGGAGAAATCGAACCAGGTAAATATTCCTCCCCCGTCCTCACCGCGTTCGACCCTTATGTTTATTCCTGCTAGCATCACGATTCTGGATTGAAGAATCGGACCAGATTTGACGAACGGCCGAAATCATAGGAAGTGAAGAGATGGTACTGGCTAACTTTGGTTGATGATGTAGATTTGCACATGTGAACGCTGTCTTTCACGGAGCGTGGCGTTCTTACGACAAAAAACTCAGTTAGACTTTGTTATGGGAGACAGAGCTTCGAATCCTCCTCAGGGCATGCATCCATCGGAGTCTTTCTCTATTTTTAAAGAAGTTTGATTAAATTCGGATTCACAATCCTTCTTCACGTATTTGTCCGTCTGTCTGTGTATAATGCACTTGGACAATTCTTGAATTTTGGTACTTCAATGAAGCTTTTAATGAGTGACCAAAATTTTCACATCTGTGTGACTGCAGGCTCCCTCGAAGAATGTGCAGGTATATCCAGGCCCGTTGATTTGAAGGAATTCATGAGGATGGAAAATGTGCAGGTCTATCCTGGTGCCTTGGAAGGGTGTAAAGCCCTGGTAGATTAATGGAAATCACCCACTATGTAACCGAAAGAGCTAGGTCGGATTGACGTGGGAGACGGAGGTTCGAATCCTTCTCAGGGCATAGATGGAGATGGAACATTTTTCTTTTCTTTTTTTCTTTGCTTTTGTTTAGGTTCAAGATACCGGTACTGCTTGCACCTGGCTATGTAAATATATCCGCGCCGATTTACTGTCGCGTTCAGGCACTTGTACATACCGTGGATTGAAGGAATTCATTCTGTGGAACGGGTTGGAAAATGTGCTGGTATATCCAGGTTCGTTGGAAGGGTATAAAGCCCTGGTTGATTAATGGCAAATCACCCACATCCCTTAAGACTTGACAACTAGGATGGATTGATGTGGGAGACGGAGGTTCTGTTATGGATAACGTTGGATTTTGTGAAGGATGACTGAACCGAAATACAGTTCCCGATGTAGTGCAAAACCCTAAGGGACCAACAGCCGTAGGCTTGTTGGATCCCGAAGGTGGGGTGTCCTAGGAGCGGTAAGTGCGAGACTTTTACCGGTGCTAGTGGTGACGATGTCCTAGAGGACAGTAAGCGCAAAGCTTTTACTGGTCTAGTGTGTGACAACTGGTGTGTAGTGCAGTGCAGTGGGCGATGTAGGTGAGTAGAGTGAGTATATTGAACCAGTACCAGCGGTATATATACACAATTCGTAGCTATAGGAATGTGGGATTTGAAATAAGTAGCTATGAAACGAGGGCTAGTGAAATAAGAACCACGTCAACGAGGGATGTTGAAATAATAAATGTGAAATTAAAAGATGCCAAGGAGACGAGCACGTGGTGACTAAAATGTGCCTTTATCCATGACATATCCCCCCCAGTCAACAAGTGTGAAGTCGCCGTTCGAATCCAGACTTGAATGGAAGATGTTGCCATATCTGAGCCAGATCACTCATGATCCTCCAACCGATTCATTGGCAGATCCAGGAGTGTATCTTCATGGAAGATAATGGCCGCATGGAAATCCAAAACCGTTTGGTAGTTCTGCGTATCCAGAATGGTGCACCAAGAACGAGGAGCACCGTTGATGACTTCCGATATGATGGCCGAGTCCTCAAAGGCATAAACAGAGGTAAGAAGCTCATGTTTGCGGATGAAGTATTCGGATGGCTTCTCCCTGCCATGACCAGCTTGGCGATATGTAGCTCGGAGAGCTTTCGACCGAGTTTTGTCAAGCCATTTACTGGACAGGAAAAAATCCGCCAATGCCTGTCTCATGGTATCCCAACTTTGACGTATCTCATGCTGATATTCCACAGGAAGAGCGAAATACCAATCTTGAGCAGTCCCAGTAAAGGCACGAGGAGCAATTCTTCCGAGCTGCTTCCGCGCTTTGGGACCATCCTCTGCAACGAGATTCACCTGTTGGATCCAGCGAATGAGAGTGTCCGTATTTCCATCCCATTTTGGTATATCAGAATCCTTGAGTCGTAAATCGAAATAGCGCCCATTGGTACCATCATCTTCGCTGCTATCATCTGAACTGCCATGTGAATTCCTTGTGGCCCTGCGACCACTGCTGGGTATTCTGCGTGCTGGACCCCTACGATTATCCTCATCTGAACTTGAGGGATCATCGTCAGGGTTGCCACCCGTTTGTGCAGGGAGTTTCCCAGCCTTCCCAGAATCAGGTTTTTCCTCTTTGCCTTTCCGCTTCCTATCTGCATTGCTTTCATCATCTGAACCAATGTGATGATTACTTCCAGATGGGCGGTAGGAATTATTTGGAATCCTGAAACCCAGAGTCGAAAAGCGGAAAGGTGTTGATCTCCGTTGCCTCCCATAAATATGAGCTTTGGGGTCATCGATCTGGTGATGTGCTGAACCTCTTTCGAACTGGATTGGGGGAAGATCTTCCCGAAATCTCAATGGTGGAAAGGAAGATTTGTCAAATGCACGGGCACGGGCAGTGAAAATTTGAGAGAGAGGTGCATTTTCAACATCTGCAACTTGGACGTTGAGACTGGGTGGATGATGGAGGGTGTGGCCGAGTCGGAGTTGCTGGCTTCCTCGACATGCCGCGATAATGCTCGTCGTAGTAGGTCTGTGTTTCCCGGTCTGGTGGGCGAGGTTCATTGGCTATGAAGTCGAAGTACTGATCCAAAGTAGCGATGTAGTTTTCAACTTCTGCCCGAAAGCAAATACCAAGAATCTCGAAGTCATTGGCGGAGTAGAATGCCAGAGGATCTTCGCTTCGGCCCCAGGTAGGCATATCGGGCATGGGTGCCGAGAAAACAGGCTGAGCACTTCGGCGAAGGTCATCTAAGTGTTTCCAGAGGACCCAATATAAACCCTTCTGCAAGCGATAAGCTGGCCCTGCATTATTCACAAGTTGTGCAACCTCGACCGATGCGAGTGCCGCATCAAGGATAGTGAGTTCGCCTTTGAACACACTGTTGAATAATTTGCGGGACAGCGTCTTCGGGTGATGCAGAAGGGGCTTGTTAAAGGCCGTTGCCCCAAATTCCAAGGCATCAGTGCGGCGAGCAAGCACATCTGGATTACGAGTACTTATGTTTACATATGTTATCGTTTCTTTCAAATCTCAGGGCACCCAAAATCGATCACTTTTTTACTAGTTTCCGATTTCGTTGAGGGACCCCTTTAGTGGCTGTGTGTAGTCTTTATCCTATTTCTATTAGTTGAAAACATATGAAAAATAGCGGCTGTGCCTTTGTTCGTATTTGGTTAATTGTTCATATTTACATACTCGGGGAAAAATACCCCCTACTCGGTGAAAAATCATCACTTGCGCAAACAATGGCAAAAAAAAATTTTGTAGTCACCGTCATCCTTCGGCAATCTCCCTCCCCCTTTCGGACTTGAAGAAACTGAAAACCATAAAAACAGGACGGGCGTCGGGATCCTCCGACGAACTTGTGACGAACCGTGTCTAACTACAATGGAGCGCAACTTTTTTTGTATGGCATATTTATGCCGCTTTCAATATCGTATAACGGCATATGATATACTTAGAATGTGGTTGCAATATTTATCGCGGGAAATGGGGGCGCGGGGCATAGTGTTTGGCCTTGATTGGCAGTAGAGGCTGCATTTTGTTTGGTTCCGTTCATGTAAGTACACAATGATCACTCCTGACTTTCCGCCATAACGTGGCAACCCAAAACGGGAAATTTGATGGCGGCCAGGTGGCAGCATTTCGATGACGGCAGGTCGGCAACTTGCCCTAGTGCGTGGCTGACATATTTGTGTCTATGATATCTCTCCCTCTCACCACCACGTTGACTGCCTCGCTCTCACCATAAACCACACCCAGCCTCAATTATTCCATTGCACTCTATGCAGCCGCCATCTTTGTCTCTAGATCGCAAACACCGAAGACGGGAAGAAGGCCCAGATCGAGGCATATCTCACGGAGCGCTCCCTCCGCGCACCGCCCCCTGCGTCGAACACATGTGGCCCCGCGCTCAACGTTCCGTCCCGCCATCCCCGATGCGAGGCCCCGTGAAGCTCCCGCCAAGGGTTGTCCGGGCAAAATCTCAAATCCGGCCCTAAACAAGCTTGTCCTGGGGCGGATTTTGGGCCTAAAAAAGCTTATATCGGACAGGGGTCATCACGTGTTCCTCAAAAAAAATCGCTCCCCAGCGCGGCGCCTAACCCGAGCTGATGATAAGCAGTTACATTAAATAGCTTTAGCATTAATCTTGAGTGTTAATTTTATCTCCTTCGACATGTCGCCGCCCGATCTAGTCAAGGTTGTCCAGCATTTTGCAGTGTAGGGCTTCAGAGTCCGATGTATCAATCCTTTTTCGGCCCGCTCAAATGCATTGGGGCCAATATTGAAGAGAAGTTGTCCCACTCTTGTGTGGGTATAAAGCTGAGTCGTCTTTGCATAGCAGGAGAACAAAGGATCTTCTGCGTCATCTTCATCCTCATCATCTGTTGGGGGCCCTATTACCAAAAAAAAAAAAGGAATCGGACGAGTGGCGTTGTATTTCCTAAGAAGGGATTGAATATGTTAATGATGGAAGCGCGAAACCCAACCGACGCCGCTGGCAGTGGTGGCATGCATCGTGAGAGGTAAGAGAGTAGAACGAAATGCCGGAAATGCCGAGGTCGGCATTTCGCGATGGATCGATTCAAGATTAAGACTAATATCAGTACAAGATTGGGTCAAATGTCTTGTGAAATTTGGATGAAACGGTCGGAAGATGGCCTGAAAAAGCTTATGTTTGGACAAGGATTTTCAAAATTTTCGCCCTGAAAAAGCTTATGTTCCGGACAACCCTTGGCAGGAGCTTCACGGGGCCTCCGATGCGCCTCCCGCCCACAGCACCGCCTGCCCCGCCTCCTGTGTCACCGGCCCGCCTCGCAACAGCTCCCGCCCCCCAACCGCCCGCCAACTCTCTTACACACTCACACCCCCAACATGCTCCCTCCTGTCCGTTACTAGCCGAACCCCCTGCTAATAAATATGCTAGGAGTACATATGTTCACCCTAAATGATCCTATTACTTTTTATATAATCTGGCTACCCCAATACAGATTAGACAACACTTTGCAACCCAAATCTACCTACCCCCTACACTCCCAATTCCATCAACAATTGGGGTGATGCTGCCTTGAACATGTCCTTCCAGGGAATTTCTTGGGAAAATAGCAATACACTACACCACCACGTTTGAGCCAATCCCGCATACTGCTATCAAATGCGCATTTATTTTCCGGCACTCATTTGTATATGGCCCGGTTTTGGAGTATATGAACAATAGCCAATGGTGAATTGTTCCACACCTGCACTGGATTCAACACTATCCCTGCACAATCTGTCTTCAAATATTGTTGATGGTCCATTGGTTTGTTATTTGATTTCACTGCTTCGTTCTACTGACTCATGTACCGCATCAACGAGTGCTCCCTAATCTTCCACATCTATGCACTGGCCCGCTCCGCCCTGCGCCGCTGCACTGAGCATCTCGCATCCGCATCGCCATGCGCCTCCCGCCCACTGCAGCGCATCAACAAGTCGGCCCGCTGCGCTGCGCCTCCCGCCCACCGCAGCGCATCAACTTTGAGAAACCCTGGGACGGGATGCCGAAGGCGATGCGAGGCCATTCTTCTTCTGATATTATTTTATTCTTATGCCTAATCTTATCATTTGGTACTTGGAACATATAACAAAAAAAAAAAGTAAGTACGAGTTGCATGCCGGGCAATGCCACGGCCCTTTACCCCAAGTTTGTTTTAAGAATCACAGGATATGCCTGAAAGGTTGGCAGATTGAGCGACACTTTAATTATCTTCTTGGTGTGGTCAAGCTCTCCTGGTTCCAAAAATCCTTCAAACTCCTCCAGATCATTCGCCTCGTGGAGACTTCCGAAATGGATGTCGATGGGAGGTGTGATCGATGAAGAAGGATGGGGTTGCTCGGCCGATGTGTGATCAATATTGACTGGCTGGTTGACATTTCCAGGCAATGAAGGAGAACCAGTGGTACTGTCGCTGGGATTGTCTGCCACAGTGCCACCGGTCCGAATGGTATCATTCTCTTGGGCAAGAACGATTTGTTCAACATTCGTCTTTCTCGATGTCCTAGTTGGCCTGGACGTCGTCATGATGAATGATGTGTGATGAAGGATGTGGGGGAATGTATTTGACGGAGACCCCTGTGTGTCCACCAATGTTATGGATAATGTTGGATTTTGTGAAGGATGACTGAACCGAAATACAGTTCCCGATGTAGTGCAAAACCCTAAAGGACCAACAGCCGTAGGCTTGTTGGATCCCGAAGGTGGGGTGTCCTAGGAGCGGTAAGTGCGAGACTTTTACCGGTGCTAGTGGTGACGATGTCCTAGAGGACAGTAAGCGCAAAGCTTTTACTGGTCTAGTGTGTGACAACTGGTGTGTAGTGCAGTGCAGTGGGCGATGTAGGTGAGTAGAGTGAGTATATTGAACCAGTACCAGCGGTATATATACACAATTCGTAGCTATAGGAATGTGGGATTTGAAATAAGTAGCTATGAAACGAGGGCTAGTGAAATAAGAACCACGTCAACGAGGGATGTTGAAATAATAAATGTGAAATTAAAAGATGCCAAGGAGACGAGCACGTGGTGACTAAAATGTGCCTTTATCCATGACAGGTTCGAATCCCCCTCAGGGCATGCGTCGATCAATCTCTCTCTGCATTATGCTTTCGGGCAGACGAAATTCTTGTTGAAGTTCGTCCCTTTCAGAAAGCCCTTTGACGATGCGATGGAGTAGCAACCTGCTCGCTTCCAGTCTGCGAATGTAAATCCTGTCTATCGGGTGCCCAAAAAATGTGCAGATATATCCGGTTCCATTTAAGGGATATAAAGCCCTAATTGATTAATGGCTTAACCGAAAGAGCTAGGACGGATACGTGGGAGACGGAGGCTCGAGTTCTCCCCAAGGGCATGGATGGAGATTGCCCCTCTGCGAACTTTTTCCCCCTTTTTTCTTTGCTTTTGTTTAGGTTCAAGATACCAGTACTGCTTTCACCTGGCTATATAAAGAGATCCGTACCGACTGTCGGGTTCAGGCGGCACCGTGGATTGAAGGAATCCATTCTGTGGAACGGGTTGGAATATATCCAGGTTCGTTGGAGGTGTATAAAGCCCTGGTTGATTAATGGAAATCACCTCCCCATTCTTGTCAGTGTGAATATGATGGGAGTCGGAGGTTCGAATCCTCCCCAGGGCATATCGGAGTCTCTCTTATTCTTTTTTTCTCTCTTTCTGGTCAGTGGGTTGATTCAGATTCGAGATAGTGACTGCTTATATTGCACCAATGTGCGATAGATTGCGGGGCACAGCGAAGGCGACGCAACAACGCAACTCGAACCCAATTCGGTGAAACCCACCACCAACATCCACATCCCGTGGCTCAGAACAGCGAAAAGGTTGACTCCCTCGAACGGATTCGATCCATGACGATGGTATGTTACTATTAGTGTAATCAGATTCAAGGCTGACGCTGGGGAAGTACTACTTTCGGCCATTTGGTAGGATTCGACATTTGCGTGAATAGCTTCTGCATGACGAACATATATATCTTTTCGTGGGCGGTTCCCCAAAGTACAATGAGTGCAAAAAAGGAACTGAGTGAGCTCAGTTGATCAAGTCCAAGTCTTCAATCCAGCACCGCCAGGCTAAAAGGAAGGCAAGGACAGTAAGCGGGGTGTTTCGGCGGGTGCGGCAGGACATGCCAGGTTCGATTTCGCATCGCCTGCTCGCAACAAACTTCTCTGCGTGGAACCAAAAGTCCCTTCCCCCCTTCACTCCGAACTTCCAATCCTCCATAGACTCCTCCAAGGAAAGTGACATCACAACGAAGCGCGGGTCATCGATCGGCAAGCGTGCTTTGCAGTATCGCAGACCCTTGAACATTGTGACCAGCATGCGGAGTCTGCTGCAATTTGCCAGAGTGGAAGAGATGAGGCCGATGGTAGAGTGAGCGGGTAGACAAAGATGTGTGAGGGCAGGGAGTTCGCCGAAATTTAGTTCTGGAGGGCTATTGAGGAGGCGAAGATGAGTGAGTGCTCCGAAGAGGGGATGGGCTGGGTCGATCGCCGGAATACTAAAAAGTCCTTGAAGGTCGACGGTCGACTGCCGTAGTTGCATCTTCTCGAGTGCAGGGAGCATTGTGGGATAGGGCCCAATCAGCATGAGCTTCCAGATGCTACTGCAAGAAGAAAGAACGCGCAGTGCGAAATCGACACGATGGAGCGCTCCATATGAGCATGTTCTGCACATATTTTGGCAATTTGGCGGATTCCGGACAGAAAGCCGCGGGGTCCCGCGAGGATTTGGCTTTGAAAACAAGGGTGCGGTAGAATATAGGCTCAATCCTGAGTAAGGGATTAGAAGAGGTGGTTTGTCGGTGTCGAGATAATGCACTACCATTGAAGGACGCGCTGCGCAATGAGAAGGAGCGCGGGGATCGTTTCTGGATAACAGTTTGCAGCTATTTCGAATATTTCTCGCTCAAGATCAAAAAAGGGAAGGACGGAGAAATCTCAGAGTCCATGGTATGAGGACTAATTGGATCCCACGTATCGCTGCAGGTTCGATCAGGTACAAGCAATGGTGGTGGTTATGGGAAGAAAAGAGATGATGCCATCAGTAACTGACACACCCACTCTGTCGTCTCTCCTCTCACAGCAAACTCGCACTCAGGCTATTTCAGGGCTGAATTTCTCTCTGAGCAGACATAAAATCTGCCCCCCAACCTTTGGCCATGTCTCACACATGCCCATCGTTCCCGCTGGAGCTCGAGCGGGAAATATTCGAGATTGCGGCGACCCATCACCCTGAAATGATGCCCACTCTCCTGCTAGTTGCTCAGCGCGTCCTTCAGTGGTATGGGATTATTTTATCGGCAAGAAACCTTATAATTTATATTCTGCATCCAGGATCGAGCCTCTTTTGTACCGTACTCTTGTTGTGGGCCGAACCACTCTTGTTCTAGGTAGAATCGCTGCCCAGCGGCTGGATCCCGCGGATCTTCTTCATCTACAACCCGTCAAATTGAAACATATCCAGCACCTACTTCTATGGGGTTCTTACAGCGATCTCTTACCCGTTCTTCCACTTTGTGGCCATGTCGAAAGGCTCGGATTACGCGGTGAAGATCCATCGATGCTCACTGCCCTCGAAGCTATGCCGCTGGCATTGCAGCACTTGTCGTGCATCAAACCTTCCGCTCTTGACGCCATCGATCCTAGTCGCCCTCTGTACCGGACGCTCACCCATCTCGACATGTTCGCAGGGACTGAAGGAGAACCCCTCGACTTCCAGTTCGCTCAATTCCCCGCCCTTACACACCTGGGCATGAACAGCGACCGACCTCCGCCGTTTTCTTTTGACCTTCTCCGGAGCTGCCCTAGGCTTCATGTTTTGGTCAGCAAGGTTTGGTTCTGGAGTTCCTGGAACAGGATGCAGGCGCACCAGCCAATCGATGCTGATCCACGCTTTGTGATGATGTTCACCGAAGCCAGCATAAATCATGTCATCCAGGACTGGACACTGGGCGCGCAGGGCGGGAAAGATTTGTGGGCTCGTGCCGAGCTCTTTATGGATAAACGCAGACGGGGGGGAATTGAACCAGGTAAATGTTCCTCCCCGCCCTCACCGTGTTCGACCCTGATGTTTATTCTTGCTAGCCTCACGATTCTGGATTGAAGAATCCGACCAGATTTGACGAGCTGCCGAAATCGTAAGTGAAGAGATGGTACCGGTTATGTTCTGACGTAGATGCTTGCAGTTGGTTGATGGTGTAGAGTTGCACTTGTGAACGCTGTCTTCCACGGAGCGTGGCGTTCTTACGACAAAAATAGGCTCTTGATAACCTTGAGCATAATCTTGGGGCTATATAGCAGAAGAAGTAGTCAGCGCGTCAACATGAGAAGAACAAGTACTCGCCTGTCCGACCGGGATTTTCTTATCAACGACTCCTTGTCGTCCATCTCAAAGATGAAATGGCTGCGCTTGGGCTTGCCGCCGTCCGCACCCAGGCCACTGATAAGCACCCGTTCGCGGTCCGAGAGCAGGGCTACGGCGGCTCATTCTGCAGAAGGGGTCAGGAAACTGGGATCGGCGGATAGCAGGAACTGCCCCGCCTACTAATTTTGACCTTCCATTTCGCCTGAGCTGCAGGTGTGTTTGCGCTGAAAGCACACATTATAATCCAAGCCCGTGAAGGATCCCGGAAGCCGCGCGCCTGGTTCGTACATTCCGTTGCCCTGATAAATCGCCGCGCTTACCATTCTTCACACGTCAAAAGAAGGATCTTGTGTAGGAGACGAGGGTTAGAATCCTCCTCAGGGCATGATTGTTGAATCACTTTTTCTACGGAGATGTAATTTGAAGTTTATTCAGAGGTTCACTTCTGCTCTCAGCAGCTTCGATAAATGCGCAGGGATATCCTGGTTCATTGGAGAGGAATAAAGCCCTGGTTGATTAATGGAAAACACCTATGCTCCTTGCGGACACGAAAGTGGGAGACGGAGGTTCAAATCCTCCCCGTGGCATTCCGGAATTGAAAGCCGTCTTTCTTTTTTGAAAGCCTGGGATTGAATTCAATTTGAAGTTGCAGGCAATAGAATAATCTATTTGAAGACATGGATAGGTTCTCATTGACTTCTTGAATTTTATATGTGAGATTTTATTTGGTGGTTAAGTTGTCCACGAAAAATGTGCAGGTATATCCTGGTTCGTTGGAATGGTATGAAGCCCTGATTGATTAATGGAAATCACCCCCAACCCATGAAATTGTTTGCGAGAGGATTGATGTGGGAGATGGAGGTTCGAATCCTCCCCGGGGCTGCACACTCTCAACATTTCTTTTTTTACAAAGTTTGGATTGGATTCAAGATATCTGTTGCACATACCTAAACCATAATAGGGGAAGTCAAAGCGGTCAGATGGCATCGATTCTGAAGCTAATCCTGACTTCGATTCTGATTTCAGAATCAATCCAGAATCGAAACCAACTCTGACCGACCCCATCCTGACATCGATTCCAGTTGGATTCCAGCCTATTGAGCGCAGCATTTAAATGGAGGAAAATTAATTATCTTGCAACAAAGCGTGACATTTCTGATGCTCCACCCCCCATCCCGCACCCGACGGCGGTAGACGCGGCGGTGACGCGTCCATGCCCCGCCGTTCTTCATGTCAGCGAAGGGCTCATGCCATCCTCAAAACCTTGAATGGCTTGATCCGAGCAGTCGGGGGGTTTACCCAAGGTTTGCCAGTGGTAGTTGAGTGGTAGCGGAGCTTTTAGGCCTTTAGGAGCCATGGTGCAGCCCAGCGGAGGAGAATTAGAGGAGAAATAAAATAGATTATGTAATTCTAAGCTAACAAGTTGTGACAAACACACAAGACCAGAGCGATTCTGAGTTTCGATTCTGGGAGTTCCTCCTCAAGAGGAGGAACTCGATTCAGACGATTCTCATTTCGATTCTCGATTTTCGGCTAAATTTGGCCCAAGAATCGACATCAGAATTTGATCAGAATCGATTTCAGAATCGATATCAGAATCGGCCTTCCTGACCGCTTTGAGCATTTCACTCAGGACAACCTGAAAATGTTGGGAGCTCCGAATAATATTCGTGAATTGTGACTGGCACAATTCATCGATGCTACGCAGGAATTTGAAGCTGTAAGCGCTATCCTGATGATAGATTGGTCTCCATCGCACTCACTTATGGAGCCCGTGAGACGGCCCCGGCATCGTGCTACTGACTCGGAACACCAACCTCGTAAATTTTAAAATGCGCATGCGAAGTGTTGGGTTGCATGGGCGGTAGGACAGGAAGGGAGCCATCACAGTGGGAAAGTAATTGAGTGTCCGTTAGCATACATGTGACGCTGTGTATGTAGTTTCGGGCCCCGCTTGTTCCTCAATGGGACCGTGGCGGATAAAATCCATCCTCCTCCTCCTCCTCCTCCTAATTTGGGTGCATTTTGCTTTCAGAAAGCCCTTTGACTATGCTATGCAGGCGGACTTTTGTAGCATCCTACTCGCTTTCGGCGTGGCCCAACTTTGAAACATGTGAAGTCAGAGTAGGCCGGACTTAAAGCTGAATCGGGAACATCACACAACTTCAAGGCCAACAATCAGACAAAGAGTGCACAACTGGGAGATTAACCGCTAGCGCAGAGACGTCGGTCAGGCGTATGTGCAGATGGCAGGATGGC